CCCGATTAGGCAACCAGAACCGGAGATATTCGGAAAAAATTTGCACTACTAACAAAAACCGAACGAATATATGGATCCACCCAATATATATCAACTTTTTATTTCTGGCTAAATGTAACAAGAATATAACAAATATTTTATGCAAAACAGCGTTGAATGAACTTAATTTCATCAAAATTGGAGATGAAAACGGTATTCTGAACTCTCAATTTACAAGCTTTGATCATCTTAGTATTTTGGTTACAATAATAAATAAAATTTATATGTTGCAAATAATAAAATATTATGTTATCTGAATTTTCGTGCGGACATATGTTTAATATTCTGGCTGATCACTAATGTCGTATTGAAATTGTCGTATTGAAAAATTTAACCCTGTTCCACAGACTACAGTTCCCTGTTCCCAATTCCCTATTCCTATTCCTCTATTGTGCGTTAACGGTGTTCCTGTTCCCTATTCCCTAGCTATTCCCTGTTCCCTGTTCTCTGTTCCCTGTTTCTTTTATTGTGCGGAGCCCCTCAAACTGCGCTGCAGTCGCCTTCGCAGGTAGGAAAAACGAACGACATCTGCAGCAGTAACTGCATAAACGAACGCAGCCATAAGGTGAAGCATTGCGCATAATAGTGACATGGAGGGGATGGCTTGAAATTCAACCAATCAGTTTTTTCCCACTTGGAGAGCCGCGTATTTTAAATGTAGTAGGTTGATTGATAATGAAAATGTACTTCTAGTGAAAATTAATTATATTAATTATAAAAACGTTAGAACAATTAATAACAATAAATAATATGATATAAAATAACGTGCAGAACAGAAATAAACAATGACAAAATAAAATGTAAAACAAAAATTAATGGGTTATAGATTTTAAATAAGAATATTGCATGTGTTTCAACTTTTTTTGGTTATTTTTGTAAATGTTATTATTTGTTGCAATCTTTTTATTTATATTTCTAATTCTAATATATATTCTCATTCGTACTAGACATGCGATAACTTCAAGAGAAAACGCATTTTGTAATTTAGTACAAACTATCGCAGATAATTTATCAAATATTTTATCCTCGAGATTAAAAAAAACTGTCATGAAATTTGTGGAATTCTGCATCTGTCACTTCTGCAGCTTTCAAAAATTCAGTAATAGGATGAATGCAGTTTCCTGCTTGGCATAGTAGATTGTCTGAAAAAAATGAACTATTTATAATAATGTCACTAGTTTCTTTATATAAAAATGTTACAATCGTACAAATAATATTAACCTTGTAAATAATATTGTACTTTTGTAAATAAAATTTACTTCAACACCTAAATATCTAACCTCAGCATTCACTATCAGCACTCAACATACATAATATATATATTTACTGTAGGCCATATTGAATTTAGCACTTTAGGGAAAATCTGATTGGCTTACTGCTCCCTACTACTTTTGGACGACTGCGCATCCACCGGAATACTTCACCACAGTATATACAGTAGTGCAACTCTCTGTCGGTACCTTTGATGTTAGTGACTACGTTTACACGACTCGATTTACGCCGAAGTTATAACATCGATGTTATGATCATAGCTATTCCTCTGAAGAATGGAATGACTGCTATTGGCCAGTTTCCTAACATCGATGTTATAACTTCGGCGTAAATCGATCCGTGTAAACATAGTCAGTATTGGCCAAAATGAAGTGCGCATGCGCGAAATAACCAAGTTACCTAACGTAAATCTAGCGTTCCTATGGTTGCTATCTGAATTTCTTTCTCTTTTCATCCTTCTTTCGCTCTGTCAAAACTCACTATATTTATTCGCGTCGCATTTCAATGAATGCGTTTGAGTGAGTAAAAGCTATTGTAGGAGCATATTGGAGCATGCAACGCGAATAAACCCACTATTGCAATGAAATAATCTAAACTTAATGAAAATTAATAAAAATAAATTGTAAATATATTGAAAAATAAGGAAAAAATGTAGAAAAATTTTAAAAAATATTAAATCACCTTCAAAATATATTTATATAGAGAAATATTACATAATTGTAAATATATGCTAGGTATCAAAATGTTATGAGTTGATATAAAAGAAAATTTAGGTTTCTCGAGGTTTCTCACACAACACTTCACCAAATAGACAATGCACGTTGTGTTTCCCTCAAAATTTCTACTCTCAACCGCTCTCAACTCTTTAAATGTAACATTGAAACGGTCATTTAAATAGAGAGAGAGAAAGCAATAAAAAAGGAGAAAATGAGACGGGGCAACTTACTTATTTCACGCTTGCGCACTCCGTTTTGGCCAACATGAAATCAGGATAAGCTATGTTCCAAAATTGACTGCCAGTACTGAAAATCTATAGTGTACATAACCACCGACGAGATACTATTAAAGACCGTCAACCCTGGGCAAATTTTCGGCGGTATAAAAAGGGCCCCAAGGGCCCGGAGGTAATCGAAGAACGCTGACATTATCGACAATTGATATAAATTTGCTATTATTAACATAAATATTTGACTAATACATTATTAAATTCATGATATTTTATTACATAAATGCTCTATAAATAAATAAATAAATAAATGCATATTTGTAAAGCTATAATATCACCGATAAATACCTCTACTAAACTAATAAATCATAAAATCAGTACAATATTATTAGTTTTTTTTACTCTTAATCACTTCAATATTAACAAGGACGCGAACTCCTATAAGGATGTCGGTCTTTAATAATATCTCGTCGGTGACATAACGTAAACTGTAGCATTTTTTGTGCAGGCAGTAATTTTGGAACACAGCCATCGTTGCGCTACTGTATATACTGTGACGGGTGACCAGTAACTTCACCCATGGTGGAAATATATATAATTATATTTGTTTATTTTCTTTATATTACATTATTTCTTGTTATGTATTATTTTAAAATTGCAATTTTTAACGTTATATTAATAAATATGAATAATTTTTAATATAAATACGGTGTTTTTATTTCCAAGTAACTTATTACATTTAAAATTAGCGCGTTACCTCATTGGGCAAATTTGATTGGTTAAAATTTTAAGCAGCCGCCATTATGCGCATTGTTTCACCCAAGAAGACTAGAACTAAGCAGGATCAACTCTGGCTGCGTTCGGAAACATCACCCGAGTGCCCTCGGGTATCAACTTATCTTTATTTAACATTGGATGAACAACAAGGATAAAATGATATACAGGAACACTCGGGTGATGTTTCCGAACGCAGCCTTTCCATCATGGGGCGCGTTCAAGTTGACAAAGCGGCTAACCTGCTCGCCAAGCAAATGAACATAATTGGTTGTTACTTATAGATCCAACCAATCATATTCAATCGCTCGGTAAGCACGCCTAGCCGCTTTGCCGTCTTGAACTCGCCCATGCTCAACGCTGCTTGCAAGGTAGAGCGGTAGTTTTTTTCTTGTCAAACTCGTTTATTTCGTGCATAAACACGTTGAATGAGCCATATTTTATCAAATTCGAAGATGAGGATGGTCAACTGAAGAATTACTTAAATAATATTTAATATAAACTTCGATTGTGTTTTCGAAACGAGATGAAACATCAAAAGAATCGCGAAGTGACGTGGACCATCCTGGAACTCAGAGGTCTCCTAGAAGAGGAGGACTCTCACGTGCACTTTGTCAGGACCATCAAGCACGTTGCATTACATCCATATCACTTGAACAATATTCAGCGAGGTCTAAATCAGATTTTAGGATCGTTGCTGAATACTTACGACAGAGAGTATGCATTCATCTATGCTTTATAATTATACATGTAGATATACATATAATATCCATCTCTTTGTAATTATATATGTAGATATAATATCCATCTGGGTAATTATTTAGAATACGGGTCTCATCTTTGATTTTGATGAAATTGGGCTCATTCGACGCGTTTTTACTCAAAATAAAAGGATCTGGCAAAAAAAAAAAATGCGGCGGTCGGCCTCATGAACGGAGATATCAAGCGTTAAAGTTCGAGATTTTAGAGGTGAGATATCTATCATCCACTGCTTTAAAAACAAATTCTCTGTTTCACAAACACAAATTCACTGCTTTAAAAACACAAATTCACTGTTAATGCAAAGAATTTGTGTGCTTAAAGCAGTGAATTTATGTTTTTAAAGCAGTGAATTTGTGTTTGCAAAACAAAAAATTTGTTTTTAAAGCAGTGAATTTGTGCAATTAAAGCAGAACATATACATAGCATTATATCGAGTCGGGATGACAGCTATCTTAACCTCTAAAATCTTGAGCTTTAATGCTTGATATCTTCGTTCACAAGGCTGACCGCCGCATTTTTTGCCAGATTCTTTCATTTTGAGTAAAAACGCGTCAATTTCATCAAAATCGGAGATGAGACCCGTATTCTAAATAATTACCGATTAAATAATTATTTCTAAAATTTAAATGTCTTTCCTCATTGTTAGTTTATTATTATAATTTGGATAAATGTTAAGAAGACCTCGGCCACTTCAAATTTTAATAAAAATGCACTCAATCGATGCATTTTTGCGTAAAAAATAAAGATTTGACAAGAAAAATGTGTCGCTTTGCCTCATGAACTGAGATGTTAATCGTTAAAATCAATGGCTATTCAGGTTAGGAAATTTGTCATAGCAGTAGTTCACTGCTTTAAAAACACGAATTCTCTGCATTTTAAGAATTCTCCGCTAGAGCAGTGAATTTGTGTTTTTAAAGCAGTGAACCACTGCTATGACAGATTTCCTAACCCAAATAGTCCTCGAATTTAACGATTAATATCTCGGTTCACAGAGCAGAACATTTTTTTCTTGTTAAATCTTTGTTTTTATGCATTGATTGAGTATATTTTTATCAAAATTTGAGGTCAGTCTTTTTAATATTTACCAAAGTAATTTTACATTTTAGATTGAAAGGGTTTGTACTGGCTTTTAGAAATCCTAAATTGCTTAGCAATCTGGGAGAATTGTTCTATGATTCTCCCTTTATTCATGTTGACATTGAAGCAGATTTCTATCTATTTCGTCCAAAGGTCGGATCTTTTCTGAAAGGTAAATTCACTAATTGTTACATGCTCCCATCAACTGATTTCTTGAAGAAAATTAATTACCATTAATCCGTGAAATGCTAGCATAATGTCCACATTTTTAATTGGCTAATTTCCAAATAAGTTTTATATGATATCCCATAGTATTTATTACAAATTAGATTTTATTTTGAAGAAATTTTTTGTATGATTCTTAAATTATAAGTAGTAAAACTTTATTGAAAAATTCTTTGGTATGATGAAGATAAAATATTCATTAATAACAATATAAATGGATTTTAAGGAAATATATGTACATATATGTATGTTTATACATATATATATATTTATATAGATATGATAACTAATATTATGTTGCAGGTATAGTGAATAAGAAGAACTTGGACTATATTGTAATGCTGGTACACAAAATATATACCGTATCTATTCCGAAACCAGATAATACAGAGCAATGGTTAGGTGAGTCAGTGGAGATTGGCCAGGAAATAAGATGTTGCGTCACTCGACTACATCACAAGAGCAAACCTCCTTTCATCTGCGCCAGTTTGAAATCCGATTATTCACAAGGTTGTAGGTTGTCAGAAAGCATAATTTATATTGATAATGTAGACAGTACAACTGAAAATGCAAATAGCTCTATGAAGATTGACATTGATAGAATATTGGAAAATGATGGTATTTCTGAGAAAGAGAAGAAAAAACATCGGAAAGAACACCAGAAAAAACACAAGTTTCAGGAGCGGAATTCAGAAATTGTTTGTAAAATTGAAAATGAATCAGAGTTGAACGTAGAAAGCAATACTTCTAGAATTATTAAATCTGAAAAGAAACAGCAATGTATTTTATTAAATACTGATGATTCTTTGAATAATTTGGAAGTCGATAATATCCCTAGAAAACATAAGAAAAACAAGAAAACATCCAAATCGCTACTTTATAATGAAATAATTTTGGACGAACTTACTGAGTCACGTAAAGCTATAAAGAGAGAAAATTCCATTCTATTAGATAGTATTACTGAAACAAAGACGAAAAAGAAAAAGAAATTTGAAGAAATCAAAAATCTGATTCAAAATCTATATTAACAACGTTATATAGAAAACGTATAAGAAATAATTAATAGTACAAGGAATATTATTCCCTATATTAAATGTGAAGAAAAGTAACATGCTTAAGAAACATATTGTATTAAACACGTCAATACTTTTTCAAATAATTTAGAAAATAGCATATCTAAAAAACATAAGAAAAACAAGAAGCCCTCTATAATATTAGATTCGGAATCAGAAAGTCACGTTAAAATAAAGACTGAAAAGTAAGATCTATATATAAACAGAATTATTAATGAAAAAGCAAAAAGCCAAACATCATGTAGCGAGATTCAAGTCATACAAAATTTGAATGAAACTTTTGAAATGCCTAAGTTTATGAAAAAAGGAAATTTCATTAAATATGACACTTCTGAAAAAGAAAGGAAAAGAGTCCTAAGAAACATTTTAAGAGGCTCATGATCGAAATCTATCGAAATTAAGAAAGAACATGACATAATCGGTGAAGTCTGTAACGCCTCGGACAAGGAAAGGAAAAAAGTCTTCAGAAACATGCAAATTTGTCAAAAGTTTAGATTTTGAGTTTAAAATTAAAAGTGAAAATACAACGATATAAATGGTATTTTCTAAACAATTAAACACGATTCTGAAGGGTCTCAATATATGAAATACAATACATCAGCAATAAATAATGATTCAAGCAATTTGGATCTTAATTATGTAGCAAAAAATCTAAAAAGAAAAAAGCGCTTGTAATATTATCAAATTCGAAATTGAAACTTCTCATTATATATAAAATTGAAAAAGATTTAATTAAAATTTTTTATAAAATTGATTTTCAAGTCTTATCCATGTAATAAGAAAAATGCACTAAATGGAAATTTCATTAAATATGACATTTCTGAAAAGAGTCCTAAGAAACATATTTCAAGAGGCTCATGTGACAGAAACAAATATTTTTATAATTGTACGACTAATAGCGTTTAATAAAAAAATGTATTACAAATTTATTAATAAAAGTATCAAATAATAAAACGAGATAACTATGTATAGGATTAGCAGCAGCATATAATAGGAAACGTAAAAACATTTTATTTGCAGATACCAACTATTGTAATGTATACATAATGTAATTGTGTATTCTGACTTAAGCTTGGACATTTAAAACTTCAAAATTGTACACTCAATCGATAGTTTCTTTCGATCTTCTCAATTTTTTTTATCAGCAATTCTAACAAATACGAGTATTTATAAGCAATTATTTATAGATCTCGCGACATTTACAGTTGTAAAGAATTTTCTCTATTAAACATTTAACAACTTTTGTACTTAGGAGATATTAACACCGTTAATATCTGGATGATTTGTCTGAATATCAACAAGTCGTCACATGTCGGACATATATTATTTGACAATTTTTTCACTAGTACACATTGATGTAAATAATAATCACATTTCTTTTACATTTTTTGTTTGTATATAAAAAAAATTTCTTGCCTGAGTTCATACACTGATAGCAATTAATGTAGAGACATACGGAAAAAATGTTTCAAAATTTGCATTTAGAAATTGGTCGCGTTCAGCAGACTCAACTGTTGCGGAGCGGATCAGTGAGCTCTCACTGCTATTGGATGATCTAAAAGAATACACCAATAGCAACGAGCGCTTACGGATCCGCTCCACAACAGTTGAGTCTGCTGAACGCGACCATTAATTCAATTCACCAAATCATGAACTTAGCTCCTAAAATATGAATGATTTCTAACAATAGGCCTGTTCTTTTTGGCTGAACTGGTGCAAAAGTTCAGCAAAAAAGAACAGGCCTCATGTTTCAATCAGTTTTATTTTGAATTATATCTCTTCCCTCGTAAATTTTTTAATAGGAACTTTTTAATTGGTGGACTCAAATAGTGAATTCGGTTGGCGCACTTAGTGCGCACTGGTGCACATTAAAGCCGTCGTACACAAAATAACGTAAAGATATGTTTATAAATAAACAGAAATCGATTAAATCGTGAAATACTCAATATATTTTATTATACTATTAGGTAAAAAGTATGTATAGTTTTAAAAAAACCGCTTTTTTCAAATTGCTGGAAAAAATTCGGTTTTTTCCGAAAAATTGGTTTTTTGGAAAAATTGCTGTTTTTGCTATGTAAAAGACATAATAAGTGACTTCTAAATTCCTTTATAAAATTAATGCGATCTATGAAATTATGTAGCATTATTTTTATTAAAATTTTTTAATTAAAAGTTATCCTATTTTTATAGTAAAACTTAATCTAACTTTTAGTACATGGCGAGGCTTAAGTAGACAGATTTTTAACTCTAGTTTATCACACTGCCAGTCTAATGAACTCTTCTGAAGTGTCTTTGTAGTTTATTTTTTTTCAAATATTTTGTTACGAATTCAGTTTAAATCCAAATTATTTTCCTAGACCTACCATTATCATATAAACATGATGTTTGGACTCTATATTTTTAATTCTTACATTAATGGTGCAATAGTATATGTTTTATTGAAAACATTATGCGACACACGCCTCAATCTTTTATACAATTTCAAAATTTCTGTTAACTTATCCCGCTATGCATGAATTTTTCTAAAATGAATTTCTTTACCCTTGGGGAAAAAATCGAAAAAATCCGCGGAAAAATTGGGTTTTTCTCCGATCCTTTAAAACTATAAAAATATGTATTTCATAATTCGAAATATTTACATTTTATTTTTATATTCAAATTAAATCAGTGTACAACGGCTTTAATATGCACCAGTGCGTACTAGTGCTTCCATTCGAATTCGCCATATGGTTAAAATATTATAGGAATCGCGTTTTAATTGGGATATTCATAATCAGGAAAGGCTTCTGAAGGCTCAGCAATTTTTGAGGGAAAAAGGCAAAATAAAAATTTGATTCTGATATCTTACCCGAATGTGCACTACATCTACCGTGCAGGTAAGATAATTTTATTATTAAAATATTTTCAAAAATCAAAAAAATTTGCAAAACCGACTCTGTACACGCCTTCGCAGCTTCTTAAAAAAAGAAACCAAAAAAATTTTATGACATAATATTACTTCTTGGAGATAAAATATCAACATAAAGACAAGTATGTGTACCGTAAATAAAGAGCATACCATTTTATTCATTAAAATATTTTTAAGAATGAAGTTGCAAAATTTAGTTCTTTGAAGTTGATTCTACATTAGTCGCATCGCAGTATCGCAAGCGTGTCGCAAGCATTTTGGTCCAATCAGAATCGAGCTAGATTGATGTTTGGACCGCAACGCTTGCGACGCTGCGATGCGACTAATGTCGCAGCTTAATAGGCTTAGTATTTTCGTAAAATATAAGCCAAAACGAGTTTCATGGCAAAATATTTCTTCTACAAGAAACAACACATAGTGCAGATATGTAGCTGTACTACAAATGAGGTGTAAATGAGTTGGCTTCAGGGTTGCCAACTTTTTGAGAGATTTTCCTACACGAGCGCGGCTGAAATCCTACCAAAACCTACTAACACCTAGAGTCCTAGATTTATCAGAAAGGCGCAACCGGTGTTACGCATTCTGATTCGCTGTTACAATCACATGACTTGGCAACCATTTATAGTACTAGTGACATATTTCTATTTCATTTTATCCTATACATTCTATCTCACTCTATCTCATTCTTGCTCTTGAACAGTATCCATGCTGACTAAATTGTGATTACTGATATTATACAGAAAGCCTGATTACTTGTTCGTTAACGGTAGATATATATGCTTCACAATTATCATTTTTTTCAATGTTTCTTGAATGTAAGAACATAATACTGCAATCGTACCTGCAATTATACAATATCTTATCTTCAAATTTCTGTTTTAATTTACAAACAAGCAATCACAAATGACTTTAAAATTACTTCATTCCAAACAGTTGGAATACTCCATAGATTAAACCATATGAAATTCTTCTATGTATCATACAGAATTATTTATCTGAGTAATGCAATAATATTTTTTTTAATTTCAAGAATAATTTTATCGAGAATCTTTATCATCGAGTAAAGTTTTACTCCGTTAACAGCAGTACAAATTAAGAGGTTATGGTGATACGCAAAAGCAATTATAATGATAATTAATTAACTGACTTATTAATACATAAATATTCCCTCTAAAGAATTGATACGATTCATTTAAATATAATTTTATATTACTTTGTCTTATCTTGTTTGACAGTTTAAAGGCAGTTTCATAGCATGTCAGGCATGTTTAGTACCCTCCCTAGTACCTTTGTTATACTGACTTAAGCCGGTTGCGCCTCTCTGATAAATCTAGGACCGGTATTCATAGTTGATTCTTATTTCAAGACCGTCTTAAGTAACGTCTTAAGACGCTAATGCGGCCCTCTGATTGGTTCGTGACACCTCAAGGCTGAACTTAAGACGATCTTGAATATTAGCGTTTTCGATTGGAAAAAAATTAGTGCGCATCACTGCGCACTCAGTTCACATCAACACTAGATGAGTTCCATGGGTTGAATAGTGCAAGTTCAAAAGAACACGCCAAGATTTTCAGTGCTAAAGCTGAAATGCCATTTCGAGTTGTAAAATTGTAAGGACTTGACTAAAATGCAGAAAGAACGCAGAAAAATAATTTCGACATCTCATATTCATAACTTTAAGTAATGATTTTCTACTATATGTAATTAAATAATATATAAGATATCAAGAATATCATATATGTACATACTTAATGTACGGCTCAATAATTGTACACATTTGCATGCTATAAATTACAAATTTGCTTGTCCCTACTGTATCCATTTATACTGTGAAAAAATGATGCACTGATATCCTATATATATATATATATATCCAGTGCACTGAACTGGCACCGTCAAAATATCTCGTGCCACTTAGTGCGCACTGAGTGCGCACTACGCGAGTGTCGTGCGGTCAAATGAACACGTGACACTAGCCAAGTGCGCATTGGCACTGCCAATCGAACACTCTCTTGACACTGAGTGCAGCCAGTGCACCCCAATCGAAAATGATATTAGATTGCTGTTCTATGGGCACGGAAAACGGAATCGGAACACGGAATCGGAAAGGTGAAGTGGTAGGGGCAACCAATCAGCATCGTTCTGTTCCGATTTTAAGTAGCCTGGCTTCCCATGGGATATTTTTCGGAAACGAAAGTTTCTACCCCCACCATTGCCATCAGCGGTCCATTCTAGATGTCGATGGGGTGCACTGGCTGCATTCAGTGTCCCCAATCGAAAATGATATAAGATTTGACTATGAATACCGGCCTAGGACTCTACGCTTACGCAGGTTACGCTGCATGTGACGGCGCCCTCAGTGAACAACAATTATAAAGTAATACTTCTGCGCTAACTACTGAGTAAACGAATGCACTCTTGGGCTGTATTCGGAGAGACGCTTTTTGTTTTGCATATATTTCTAACCTAACATCATGTGTATAATATGCCAGATACCCAGGGAAAACAAGGAAGTAAATATTATGTCATTGTGACTGATTATTGACCGAATCTACATAATTTTTTCGTCATGATTCGGTCAATATAATGTCAAATTGATATTATTTCGACTGTCTGTTTATATATATTAAATATTTTTTATTTGATTCTTGTAGGAAAAGATGAAAGCGAAAACAGCACGATTATTTCTTATAAAAAATATAATACAATGGTAAAGAACTCCACAGTTACCTTGG